TATGCATTTCTTAGGATTTTCTATATACAAGATTCATCTACAGATAGAGATAATTTTACTTTTTCCTTTCTAACCTGGCTGACTTTTATTTTATTTTCTTGCCCTGGTTAGACCCTTCAGTACAACATTGAATACAACTGGTGAGAAAGGACATCCTTGTTTTGTTCCTAATTATAAGGGAATGCTTTCAGTTTTTAACCATTAAGTATGATGTTATTGTAGGTTTTTCACAGATGACCTTTATCAGTTTGAGGAAGTCCTTTTCCATTACTAGTTTGTTGAATGTTTTATCATGCAAGGGTGTTGAATTTTGTCATATGCTTTTTCTTTGTATATTGAGATTATTATGTGGATTTTATCCCTTATTTTATTAATATGGCATATGACATTGATTTCTGTATGTTGAATCAACCTTACTACATTCCTGGATAAATCCCATTTGGTCATGGCATATAATGCTTGTTATATGTTGCTGGATTTGATTTGTATTATTTTGTAAATAATGTTTGTGTCTACATGTATAAGATACAGCTTTGAAGTTTTCTTTTCTTGTGATGTCTGTCTGATTTTTCTATCAGGTTAGTACTAGCCTCATAGATGAATTGAGAAGTGTTCCCTTCTTTACTAATTTTTGGAAGAGTTTATTGGAGGTAATTATTCTTTAAATATCTGGCAGAATTTATCAGTAAAGCCACCTGGTCCTGGGCTTTTCTTTGTGAAAATTTTTGGATTACTATCTCAATATCTTTACTCTTTAGAGGCCTATTCAGGTTTTCTACTTTTTCTTGACTCAGTTTGTTGGTTGGTGATTTCCTAGGAATTTGTACATTTCCTCTAGGTTATCTAATTTGTTGACACACAATTTTTCATAGCATTGCCTTATAACCCTTCTTATCTCCGTAAAGATGGTAGTAATGTCCTCTCTTTCCTCTTTTTTTTCTCCATTGTCAGTCTAACTACAGGTTTATCAATTTTGTTGACCATTTCAAAAAACCAACTTTTGATTGTATTGATTTCTCAGTTGTATTTCTTTCCTCTCTGGGCTTTATTATTTCTTTCCTTCTGCTTCCTTTGGGCTTAGTTTGCACTTCTATTCCTAAATTCTTAAGTTTGAAGGTTATTGTATTGATTTAAAATGTTTCTTCTTTTTTGATATAGGTATTTATACCTATAAATTTTTCTCTCAGTATTACTTTTGAGACATCCCATACATTTTAGTATATTGTGTTTCTATGTTCATTCACCTCAAAATATTCTCTACTAGCCCTTGTAGTTAATCCTTGACCCATTGGTTATTTAGGATTATATTGTGTATATTATATTTATATTGTTTATATTATATAATTTCTACATGTTTATGAATTTCTTCCCACCATGTTTTAAAAAATCATGTTTCCTCTTCTGTGTATTTACTATCAGATGTTATTCCCTTTGAGCATCAAATTTTAAATTTTAATTTAATTTTTAAATGATATAGAGACTATTCTAAAGTATATTATGGATATCCTTAAACAGAGCATAATAAATATGACTTGTAAGTAGTTTGAAACTTTTTCAAAGTACTATTTTTACAATAGTGCATTTGGCCCTCATCTTAAAGAGTATATTATCATTTATAGAAGATTGTTTAAAAGTTATTATTTAAATATTATTATTTAAAGATGGAAAAACTGAGTTTCAGAAAGGCCAAATGGCTTAATAATTTTAAAAGTACAAAATTTATAATAATAGTTTGGAATTAGAAGCCTGGTCCTTTAACTTCAAATTTTTCTTTCCACTTAACTAATTCATAGTCAGCTATTTCTTAATGAATCAGTATTATTATTTTAATCTCAATTATTACACTTGGCTATTAAATATTGAGCCCCTCAGGTATTTACAAAGCTTATATGGCATTTTTTTCCCCTCTCTCCACAAAACTGTCACCAAATTCTATAACTTTTTGCTTTTTTATTCTGGTTTTGGTGCATGTTCTTGCTTTTCTTTCCCTGCTTTCAGGCTATTCCTTTGGTGAGATTACCAGTCTGTTATGGAAGGTTATTTCTTTTAATTTGCTCCTTTTAGGGAGCAAATTAACATGCACAGCAACAGCAACAACTTGTTGGAATTGTGTTTAGGAAGGAGTAAACAAGTCCAGGTGAAAGGCCAGGTTTTTGAGCATAGCGTAGAAATATTATTTTCCCACAAATTTCGCAAAAACAATAGATCTTGTTATTTCTGCCTACTCTTATGCTCATCTTACTTTTAGAGTGACTAGACAAGGTTATCATTTTTGGAACCTCATTATTAAGTAAGGCAATTGTTATCTAATTTTTTTTTTAATTGGCAGAAACACATCTGCAGAAAATCTTATGAGGAAGTCCAAAACACCAATATATCAAAAAAATAGACGTTGAACTGCTCAGTTTTAAGCAGTGTGGTAGTGTTGTGTGTTTGTGGGCAGGGTGGACCTCTATCATTTCTCTTTTTTAACCACTAATGGTAATCCATGAAGCTTTCCCTCTGAGCCCTTATGGCTTTGGTAATACAGTTAAAAATCACTGAAATAAGATATTATGTTTATTTAAATTCCATTCATAATTTTTTAAAATGTGAATTCTATAATTGGAAAACAAACAAAGCAACACTTTTTTACTCACCACTTGACCTGAGAGTACTCCATTGGTAATTGCTGTGAACCACAGTTTTCAAAAGGGGTAGCTCAAATGTTCCAGAAGCTTTTAAGGTCCCCATAGCATTGCTGCTAGTTATTCACTGATATGTAAGATCTTTTGGGTAAACAGGACCACTAACTATGAGAAAATAAAGGAGAAGCCCCTACCAGTATTTGCTTTGGCTCCAAGAAACACTGTTAAAACAGATTTTAATGGAAGTGGAAAGTCAACATCGACTTGTTAATAAAGTCTCTAATAAAGAGCAGAAGGGCTGAAAAAGAATCCCAAATCGGGCTGGCCAAATGGTGCATTGGTTAGAAGTTAGCTTGGGACACCAGCTTTGAGCATCAGGGCCCCGGTTTGGATCCCACATGAGGGCCAGTGATGCTGCGCCCTCTACAGTTAAGATGGTGAACAACAGCTCGACCTGGAGCTGAGCTGCTGTGAGATGCCGGTGATGGCACAGGCTGCAGTGGGGCCCCCGTGAGTGGCTGTCCAATGACCAGCGAGCAACTGTCTCACCCGGGAAGAGTGCAATAATACCAACATGGGCCAGTGAAGCGACGCCCTCCACAACTAGACTAAAGGACAAAAGAACAGCAACTTATCTGTTCCCCTCCCCCAATCCCCAATAAAAATCTTAAAAAAAAAAAAGAATCCCAAATCACTAGATCCCTCTGAAGTTACCAAAATACCCCATCTCATTTGATTTCTAGAGGATATATGCAAAGTACCTCTCCAAGTACAAGTATAGCTTTATTCCTAGCCTGGGATCAGTCCCAAATTTATATATAAACTTACCTTGGTGGAATAATGGATAGGTCTAGAGATACCTAAACATCCAGTCAGGCAAGGCTTAAGTGGTAGGGAGCTCAACAGTGGTCAGCTCTGACTCACTTTCCTTGAGGTCATACCCAGGTCCTAATTGGTCTTGCAAGAGGGAGGACAATGGTAAACACACAATTCCAAAGGGCCAGTGACACCTCCCATAACCCTCCATTTAAATAATATGAAAAAAACATATCAAATTCACATAGAACTAAAACTCTGTCCTTTTCTTGTCTCCCACTGAAAGCTGTAGTTCTGCTTTACCTGTATTTCTCCACTATCACCATTTTGTTTTCTTCAAAAATTTTTGGAACTCTGCTGTAGTTTGGCTCAGTTATCTGAGTTTCTCCTCTTTAGGACAAAAAGACTGAAGGAGATGCAGTCTTAAGTGCTCCTTGAATTTTTCAGGTGTTCGGCCTTTAGTCCTTCACATCTCTTTACTTATTTTTTTTCTCTCGAGCTTAGCAATTAAAATTACTTAGCCTGGGGTACTGTTTCTTACTCCAAGGGAGGAGGTCAAGAGAATCTAAGCAAACCTTAAGAAGCTTCTTTTCCAGTCTCCTCCACTGCTTTGACGCATCTCCCTAGGACCATTGGTATAAACATTTATGCTCCTCACAATCTTTTTATGAGTGGCTCTTTAATTTTACTCCAGAAGTCAGTTAAATGAATCAAGACATTAATTTAAATAAATTTTTCCCAGACTACCACGTTGTCATGGGGACAGAATTCTATGGAATACTAGTCCATAAAATGATCCCTGAAAATGGAGGTTCTCAGGAATTGATTTAGAAAATACTACCCCTAGGGTTTTGCAATGCGCAATAACAATCTTTTTTTAATTTTAGTAATCCTAACACAAAGACATTTATTTGACTTTAAAATCTATGCAGCTCCAAATAATTTGATTATGAAAATATCTTTTCTAAAACACAAAACTAAATAATATACCACAGCACTTGTACTCTATAGCATATGTTTTGGTAAATGCTAACTTTGTCAAAAAGTCACTTATCCAATATTTATTTCTGAAGACAAAGTGACCACACAAGAAGCTTTTGTTATGTGCATTATATATAACAATACTGTCATTGAAATCATATAATTCCAGAAGAATAAAGCTGCTTAGTCCCCTTCCCTGTACAATGAACTTCATAAACCATTCTTTTCAATTCAATTTGTTGTAAACACACCTTAAATCTCTAATATAAATAATATCCACATTTATTGCTGCCTCCCAAAAATTTAATCTCCCAAAATATACAAAATTAATCTCATATTAATAATTCCAAGACAGTTATAAAATAGTCCCTATTTCACACTCATTCTGCTCATCCTGGCCAATGGTTCTCACATAAAGGTATGGCTGCAGCCACTTACACTCTGGTATTGATGTGGCTCTGTCAAGTATCTCTTGTGTTAGATTTTCCTTATTTCAATTCAAACATGGATTAAAAAAATTCTTATATTTTGTTTCATGCATTTTACTTATAACACAATTCTAAGACTTAAAAGGACATGACCTTCAAAAACACAAGTCCTAAAAGTAAGCCAATATTATTTTGATTTGCAACTTAAATATTTCTCAAGTAAAATAATGTTCATCAAACCTAATGCATATATTACTTCCTAGACTTAGAGTTCAATGTGAACCTATCTACCAAAGCAGATACATAGTGTAATCTGGAGTGAAAAGGCAGATAGAAAAACTGAAAAAGAGCAAACCATAGAAGTTTGAAGGACAGCTTTAAGATTGATTTCCTTTTTTCTCTGAGGTGGCAGTCACTTTTTGGCAGGAGTCCAGAATCTACTATGCATGAACCCAAAATGCAATTGGGACAATTTTTCCAACAAGATGTTAATACAAGACTATGATTCTCATATTTTACTAAATGTCACTCACCCAATTTTTTTCTCTCCTGAGACTAGGATTTGAAACATTTCAGTATACTAGTAAAATTTAAGAATGTACAGCTGTGTCAGCATTAGTCTCCACATCTTTTATTTCATTCATTTTAGGTCCACAATGGACATTTAAAAAAATTTTGATTGCCTTTAAAACATTCAAGATTCCTCCCATTGCCTACTTGGCACTGTGTAATTGACAGCCTATCCTGAATTGAGTGTGAGCTCTAATTCTACTCTTATTTGTGAAGTATATTACACATTAATAACAGGCAATTTTCTAAGCAAAATATTTGGCATTGCATCCCCAGCTATTCCATTGTTCTACTCCTATGTATTTTTTTATCTTATAGTTCCCCACATCTTTCTTAGTTATAGATTCCCTTTTCCATCACCAAGACTGTTGAGTGGGCCTTATACAATGACATTCTTCAAGCCATTGGCATAACTTTTTTATGTTTTCCAATTTTAGCTCAGCAGAAGAATTCTTCAAAGATTTCTGAGAGAATCTTCTGTTCTGACATTTTCCAAGCATATGTTTTTAGAATTCTAGTGAAAAGCAAAATTTTTAGCCCCACAAATTCCTCCATCATCAAGCATTGAGTTCCTGTACCGTGGGTGACTGTCCCACTTCCATGTTATCATAAACATCAATTTCTGCCTTCCTACCATAATAAGAATGAGTGGAGATGGGTATAAACTTCCGAGGCATCTCAAAGTATTAAACTGAGAAACTTCCTGAAGTATTTGCCTGTCAATTGAATACTTTGAGATGCCTCTGAAGTTTATACCCAGTTCCGCTCATCTTTCTCATATACAGCGTTAATGCTGTAGCTTAGGTTTGAATTTATTTCACTTGTTTGCATGTCAAATCCTGAAGGCTTTTGCCTGAAGTCATATTTATCCACTGTCTATGAGGTCTTCTTACAAACTGTTAATTTAATTAGCATGAATCTCTCCATCATGCTAAGAATTTGCATTATACAATAGATGCTTATTGCCACAAAATAGAAGCTGATTGACACTTCTGGAAGACACCAGCAATTCAGGGCTCCAGCTTACTTTGTGATAGAAATCTATTAAACTGCTTTCCCCCACCAACATTGTATCTAGCGTCCACTGAGCATACACTACTAAGCGGCAGGCCTGCCTTTTCTCCACCAATACAATGTTCTCCATACTAGATTTTGAAAAGACTGAAGGGCATCATACATTTTTTATAATATTTATGCAAATATAGGTGTTTCGAGTAATATTATTCCAAAGTTACTTTTGAAAGCTCAGCGTATCTTTTCTTTTTTTATGATTTTTCCTTTTTTCCAAAGAAATGAACCACTATTTTAAAAATCTATTCTATTTATTTCCTGGTATCTCTCTCTTCCTGGCTATTCCACCTACATGAAAGTTGTTTCAGACATCATGGAAATCATGTTACCATCTTCAACTACTATTATTTCCTTACCACTCCTTTGTAAGGTAGCAGAGTGATCAACTTTTGCATCAGAAAGGCTTTACATTCATTCCTGGCTTTCTCCTGTTACAAGTTATGTGATTATGGGGGAAATTATTTAACTTTCCTGAGTCTCATATGTACAATTATAATCATAATTATTACTTAATTCATAAAGTGACTATTATGATCAAATGAGACAAATTTTAACAGAGTCTGATGCCCCACCTCCCCAATTTCCTTTAATGTAATTAAATGGAATCACCAAAAGGTAGACATCAAAATGCTGGACTTCTAAATCTTGACCAGAAGACTTTTAGTAACTAATCTTCAACTTGTAACTGAATATTAATATTAATATTAATGAGACTATCTAGTGATTGGTTATACCTTTAATCTACTCTTTTCACATAATTAGGAGCCACAGCCAATGATGCCACAAAGAATCAGCTCAACACCACAGAAGAAACAGTGACAAATGTTCCACTTTCAAATTTTGTTTCAACAGTACAAAGTTCTCAACACAAGAGTAAGTACAAGAATTTGTGCTAAAATGTTAAACTAGTGTGTTGGATAGAATTAGACTCAGAATGTTTTCTAGCTCACTATTATCGAAGAACCATGCCCCACCTGTATTCTCTCCTAGTCTCTACTAAACAGTGTAATCATTTGGAAACTTTGCTTTGCACAGTGCTACACTATCTGTCCGTAGCACAAATGGGTAGGTGCCAAGGAAGATCAAGTCAAGGCTGGGCAGTAACCTGTGATATCACCTGGCAGGAAGAGGGGAGCTTGGTCAACAAATTAGACAACTCTGATGAAATGGAAAAAATTCTTACAAACAAATTGTTAAAACTGACTTAAGTACATAGGAAGTCTGAAAAGATCTAAAACAATGAAAGATATTGCATAAGAAATTTAAAATGGTGAAGAAAACTCCCAAGAGGTTGGCTTCACTTGTGAATTATATAAAAAAAATTTTTTTAAATGATAGAAATTTTTCTCAAACTTTTTCAGGAAGTAAAGAGGAAGAAACACTGCAGAAGTAATGATCTAAGGTCACTATTACCAAAGCTAAGAAAGAATTAAAATCAAGCAAATAAAAACTATAGGCCAAATTCTTCATAAACATAGACACAAGTATCCTTAATAAAATATTAGCAAACCAAATTCAGTAACATATAAAAAGGGATATCCAACATGAACAAGTGGGATTTATTTGGAAATGCAAGGTTGATTTAGTATCTCAAAATCAAGTAATGTAATACACCATATTAGTAGAATCAGTGGGTTCAGAAAAAACATTTAACAAAATTTAACACCCAGTCATAATTAAAACTCTCAGTGAACTAGAAATAAAATGAAATGTCTTCAAATTGGTAAAGGACATCTGTGAAAAACATACAGCAAAAATCATACTTTGTGAAAAATCTAATACTTTTCTCTAAATATCTGGAACACAGCAAAGATGTCCATTCTCACCACTTCTATTCAAAATTATAACCAAAGATTCTAGAGTACAAAAAGGCAATAGATGATAGATAGATAGATAGATAGATAGATATAATAAATAGATATATCCATTCATCCAGATTGGAAAGAAAAATATAAAACACCTTTTCCTTGACAGACTACATTATTATCTATGTAGAAAATCCAAAGATTCCACAAAAACTGAGAACTAATAAAGAGTATTTCATATCACAGGACATAGATATACCAAAAAATGATATTTCTATATATTAACAATGACAATTCAAAAATAAAATGAAGGAAATAATGTCATTTACAATTTCATCAGAAAGAATAAAACATTTAGGAATAAATTGAACAATAGAAGTGTAAGATTTATACACTGAACTACAAAAAATTTCTGTGGGAAATTAAATATCTAATTAAATGGAGAGACATTATATATTCATGGATTAGAAGATTCAAAATTTTAAGATGACAGTTCTCCCCAAGTTGATAAATAATTGATTAATATATTCAATGCAATCCCTATTAGAATCATAGTTTGTTGGGGTTTTCTTAATTGATAAGCTGATCCTAAAATATATGTAGAAATGAAAAAAACCTGGAATAGCCAAAATACTTTTGAAAAAGAAGGATGAAGAAGGAGCACTTACAGAAGCCAATTTCAAATTATACTCTGAAGCTGTAGTTATCAAGACTGTGGGTTATTGAGATAATGAATGTTAATAATAAGTAGCATTATTCATAATAATCACACTGGAAACAATCCAAATGGTTATTAACTGATGAAATGGAATCTCATTGGAATGGGATTTTCCATTTGGAATGGATTTGGAATATTCCAAAACATGGGATATCCATACAATGAAATACTTTTCAGAAATATAAAGACCAAACTACCGATATATGCTCTCACACAATTAACCTCAAAAGCATTATGTTCAGTGAAAAAAAGCCTTTAACAAAACATGACATATTATGATTCCATTTATATAAAATATCCAGAATGGACATTTTTATATGGATGGAAATCAGATAACTGTTTGTCTAAATCTAGAGGTAGGAGGGGGATTAACTTCAAAAAGCCTCAAGGGAGTTTTTTGCGTTGATGAAAACATAATCTGGATGAAAACTGAATTATAGTGGTGATTGCACAACTCCATAAATTTACTAAAAGTTATTTGAGTTGTATCCTTAAAATGAGTGAATTTACTCATACATTTCTGTATAAAACATTGTTTAAAAAATGAAGACAAGAAAATATTGACCTTGGCCAATCAAATTTCCTTTCTGCGTAATCTGAACTAAAAAACCCACCTAAAAAAGTGATTAGCTGTGGGAACTGAAGCAGCAAGGTTTTAGTAGAGTGAGTCTGAGAAAGCCATGGTGATTTCTATGCATGTCTATGGCATAATGAAGCAAATGTTATGAGTAAGGAGAGTTGATAGAGAAGAATGGAGAAAGAGCACATTGGAGATGGAGAGACCACATGAACAAGCAAGATAAAGTTGTTTATGAGAGACAGAGAGAGTAGCAAGACCTGGAGCTCCCTGATTTCTGACAGATTTCCAGTTCCAGTCCATTTAAATCTTCACAACAAGCACTTCCCACATCCTGGCCTCCATGATATGAAGTAATCTGTACTTTTAGTCAAAATATCATCACTAGAAAAGCTAGTAATCTGCCATAACAGCCTTACCAGATACCATTCATTATAAGTAATGGATGCATTTCTGGCATATCCATACTCCTTAATAAGAAGCAGCTACAGATGACTCATAGTCCCCAAATCTCTTCTTGGGAGACCTCTAAGGTAGGAGGAGATGGCAAATGGGAACCATGGATGTCCAAGGTCCCACTCTTGTCTCGAAATGCATCGAAAACATCCATATTCTTCCTTTTTATTGTAATCATCTTCAGCACAACATGAAGATTATCTAGAAGGAGCCTAATTTCACACCATAATTGTGAACTAATAATTTTATTTCATGAGACAGTCGCTGCATAGATGAATTTGATGAGCTAGGTCATTTCTCCTTTATATGAAGAACGTTTCCTTGTGGTAGTGTTTCTGTTTCTCATAAGTAGAATCTATTTTGTAGGAAATTTATGTCTACAAAATAGCAAACCAAAATCCCATTCATCTCATAATATGACTGCTCCCAATACAAACAGGAATAAAAGTAAATATGCATCTGCAAAATGTGTAGCAGTTGAAGATTACTGTTAAATAATTTATATGCTACTCTAATACCCATTCAGTAACTGATGAGAAAAATGTCATTCAGAGACAATAGTTTATTAAAATTAGCAATTATACAGAAGTGTGGTCAGCCTCATGAGTCACTTAAAACTTCTAATTTTACTTTGATTCATGCAATAAAATGCCCTCTGTATCTCAGTTCTGGGAAATATTGTATTTATTCAGCTTCTAAGCACAGTAAGAAGTGGCTTTCTTCCAAGCAGCTTAAAAAAAAAAAAGTACAACCACAAAGCTATTTCTTGAAAAAATGAAACAACCTGGAAAGCAAGATAATGAAATAAGGGTATTTACTGCTGCCCTTTGCATTTGTCACTTGATTAACCAGTTCTATACTCAGCCCTTTAGATTTTTTTGTAGTTGTGAAACTGATTCCTCCCCACATGGCTCTCATTCCTCAAGGTGCTTCCTACTTAGCTTGGAGTCAACTTGATATAATGAGTTTGCACACATTCCCATTTGTTCATGATGAAACAAGGAGCCTGCCCAGATTCCTGGTTAGCAGATCAACGCTCCCTTTCCATCTCCATCCCTCACACACACAAACGTTCAGAATTAGTGTAGCCAAGACAGAGAGACAGAAAGAGAATAAAACAGTCTACTGGTAGGGGAAGTTTGAACAGCTGAAGATTCATCTTCCTCTTAAATATATGGGCAATGGGTCCCTGAATAGTGATTATCAGATACAGGCATCATGGGTACGTCATCTCAAGTGCAGGTTTGATTTAGAGTAGAGAAGAGTTCATGAGATTTGCTGCTGTATTCCCCCTGAAAGGTGGAATGTAGGTCAAAAAGAAGCCTATCCTCAAAAACATTGCTCTCTAATATTTTCCCATTCTCTTAAAGCTGTTAGTTTTTCTCCTGTTTTACTCTTTTATTCTGCCTACAGAAGACGCATTGCTAGAATCCTAGAATTTTTAAGGTAGAAACCCTCATTAATTCAGTGTTCTAACTCCATAGTTAATGAAATGAGGGCCCTTTGAATTAATTAATAAATTGATTTATTCACTCAAAAAACCTTTGGAGAGGGCATCTTCTATGCCCAGTGTGCCGCCCAGCTTCTGGGGATAGAGAGCAATCCTCGGCATTCCTTTGTTTGGCTGTGGTCTTTGCCTCCATTTTTACATGGCCTTCTCCTCTGTGTCTCCTTTTCTGTCTGTGTCTTTTCTTATACAAAGACATGTGTCATTGTATTTAGGCCCACCCCAAACTAAAAAGATCTCATCTCAATATCTTTGACTTAATTACATATGCAAAGGCCCTCTTTCTACTAAGGTCACATCCACAAATGCCAGGTGCACATATCTTTTCATGGAAGGAAGGGTGTCACCATTTAATGCACTCCAGATCAGGTCCTGAATTTACCCATGCTATGCTTAGGTTTGTTTCATCATCCATGCATTTGTCATTGTCTATATGTAGGGCTACCTTGCTGGGCACTGAAGGGGTGACTGAAAGGAAATGTCAATTACAAGAGTCCTCACCCTCCAGTAACTACCCTGTGGAATGACTGGGTGTAAAACTCTGTCATAAAACTATAAATCTTCTCTTTCTGAATTCCCTATTTCTGCTAGTCTCAAAAATGTGGCATCCTCTCTGACTCTTCCTTCATTTCCTGTGTACATCCTGATGGTTTCTGAGGAAAAAAAGGAAAAAGAAGATGGAAAGAAGAAAGAAAAAAATTTGCTTTCCTTGCTGGAAACTTAGTCATTTAGTTTTCTATAACCAGATTTGAAAGCAGGCATGGTGCACCATGCATGAGAGACTGGCAGAGAAGAGATTATTATTGCTCT